GAAGCTGCCAATACTGGCTACAAACCGTCCAATCTGCAAAGCATCCCTGGCTACCTGGGCCCGCGCGCAGGGCCGGGTCTTTCCCCCCGCTGCCCAGGTGACCAGAGCATCGCCTCCCAGGCGCCAGGCTATTGTCTACAGACAAGGAGCGAGATCCCTGCTGTGAGAGATTCAACAGCAGCCTCTCGGGCTGGCTGAGACAGATCTCTGGAGAGGGGCACCGACGGGGGCATTTCTGCCACAGGGGGATGAGGGGGAATGGTGCTCCAGCCACTGCAAACCGCTCATCCAGGAGCTGCGGGTCTGGTGCTCACCCACTCATCTGGTGGCTCCCGCTGCTGCTCCCACCACTCGTCCTGGAGGGCATGGCTGGGGGGACCTGTGCCCCTGAATCTGTGCAGGGCAGGCGAGGGCAGGGCAAGCTGGGTCCAGGGCTATGCGGGGCTCTTTGTCAAAACGAAACAATGGCATTTCACACAGCCCCACTGGGCATGTGGTACAACAGAGGAATGGAGGTGCAGGTGCATGGTGCAGTCCAGGGGAGCCGATGGCTCAACCTGGTATGGCCTATGAGTGTACAGTCCCTGCTGGTGCACCACGTGCCTGTACAAAACCTACCCCCTTCACTGCACTGTGCGCCCATGCAGCCCATGGGGCATTCAGTCCCCAGCCATTTGGAAGCTGGACAACCCTGACCTAAGTAATATTTAAAACCTTTCTCCGTGCTGTAGCCAGTACCTCATTTGACCTAAGAAATAGTCCGCAATTTATCAGTTCCTGCGGATTCTTTTAGATAACAGGTAAAGGTCAGTGCAGAATTTGTTTGTGTGCCTGAACACTTATATTACAACATATTTTATAGCTTTTATAATACTGGGCAAATATGCAGATAAGGAAAATATTTATCATTACTCCACAAGTGACTTGGAGGCTTTCCTTTATGTTAAAAGAAAGAGGATGAGACATGAGAAAACCACACTGGATCCTTGATAATTTGTCTGCTTTTAAAAAGTACTTCACTAAAACATACCCTGTACACTTTATTTTGGCTTTTTATCCATACAACTATAATTTGAGACGGCAGAAAACAAGCTATGTTTTTTAAAAGGCTTGGATGATGGCGTATACTAGATAATACAGCATGTTGTTCTAGCCTCACAATTCATAGTTGCAATTTTTGTTCTGTTTAAGGATCTATAGTACTTTGGATGTAAATTACCCTGGTGGGGAATGGGTTGGACAAGAGAGAAATAGTCATTCTGTCTAAGCAGTGAGATCCCAGCCATCTAGGCAGAGGGTCCAGGAGGTTTGAGTAAAACTGTAATCCTCACATTAATGGAGTTGGGGGTGGGAAGTCACTCTGCTCCCATGAGGGAGGTGCTAGCAATGCTCTCTGTTACATCCAGCCCACATAGGTCTGCCGCCAGGTCGCACCTGTAACCCTGTGAGTTATTTTAATGAGCTCCGGTTCCCAAATGGTGCTTCTGTAAAACTCTTCAGCATTAGCACCTCTTCAAAGGAAACCCAGGTCTCCATGTCCACCTCCCTTCTTTCCCCTCCTGCCTCCCACCAAAAATATTTATTTTGTATTTATTTTCCATTTTTATTATTTTTTATTATTTTATTATTGTAATCTTTTACTTTTTTTAACTTTTAATTTATTTTTGACACCTCATCCCCCCCTCAACCCAGCCCATAGGGGCGGGGCTACTCCCTTAACCCCGCCCCTCCCAGTCACGTGCATTTTTCTGACCAATCGGGGCCCGGTCAGCAGCGGGGCGGGTCTTGAGGAGACTCCCCTCAACGCGACCATGGGGGGGCGGGCCCCCGCCCTTAACCCCGCCCCTCCGGGTCACGCGCCCTCGACTGACCAATACC